GTTTTCCAGTTGCTATCGCCATATAAGAAATCACCCCAAAGCTTAGTAGCTTAAAACAACAACAATCATTATCATGGCTCATGGTTTCCATGGGTTGGGAACTTGGGAAGGACTTGGGTGGTTCTGCCTCAGGGTCTTGCATGAGGTTGCGGTGAGCCAGTGGCTAGAGCTGGAACAGTCAGGGTCTGAAGCAGCTGGGGTCTGGTTGACTAACTCTCTCTTAATGTAGTCTCAGGGCTTCTGCACGAGTCTCCCCATGTGGGCTGGTTTGGGCTTACAGCATGGCGCCTTCAGGGCAGCCAGACTCCTTATGTGCCTTCAGCCTCCAGCAGGAGTGTTTCAGCAAAGCGGAAGCTGCCTCACCTTTTCTGACTTACGCTTGCAAGTCGTGTTGCATTACTTCCACCACATTCTATCAATTACAAATGAATCACAGCCTTCCCAGACTCAGGGAAAGCGGACATAGACCTCACCCCAGATGAGATTATCAGTCACACAGTAAGAAGAGCATGTGGGAGGGGAGATGGGCGTGGCCATTTTGGGAAACACAGTCCGCCCCACTGTGGCAGTAAGCTACGCTTGGACATGGTTTGTGTCAAAGAATCCCGTTATTTGAAGACTTTGAGGGCCTTATTATTTCTGCTAGCTCTCCTCCACGGTTCCTGGTTATCTGCCTGGTTATCTTTGACTGCATGCTGGTCACTGTATTTGAAAAATTATTTTGAGGCCTAGAATGAAAGTGCCTTCCTCAAGAGAGGATTTGGTTTGCTTTTGTCAGCTGTCTGGGCGTACTACCAGTTAAAGATCAATTTTAATCTAGTTCAAGGTCTGAATGAAAGGTTAATTTTTCATTCAGGGATTGATAAATGCCTGCAGGGTAGAAGGGGCCTTCTCTGTTCATTTGACCTTGATTTTCACTTCAGTTAGTTTTGCCATTACAGTAACTCCTTAAAGTCCTGTGAGCTATTTGATGCAAGATTTAAAAATATATATTTTTAACCTAGAACCTGTAGTTTCAGCAGGCAGGTTTGTCCTAGTAATTTAGGCCACCAGAGCTGGCTCCCCTAACCGCCGTCTTTTTGCAGGTTCCAGTCTCCATTGGTTTCTGTCTCCACTTCATTGGTTTTTAACTCAGAGCTTATAAGCGGCTGTAGTATCCATGAGTGGACCTGTGAACTTGAAACTGAACTCAAAGCTTTTGAGTGTGGGTGAGGCTTTTCTCTGGAGACAGGGTCCAGAGCTTCCCGTCAGAGGGATCCAGGATGTGGGCAAGTGAAGGGCCTACCTCTTGGAACATTTTTCTCTCTTGGCGTCTTTGGGGTCATGGGGAGTGGAGCAGTGGGGCAAGGAGGATGGGTGGAGATGACCACTTAGGCTGTCTCCTGCCCATAGGATGTGTCATCCAGTGACAGTGACTCGGACTGGGATGGGGCGGCCTTCTCTCCCCACTCCTACCCCACGACCACCTTGGCTTGGCTGTGTTCTCCATGCTGTGCTGTTTCTGGCCCGTGGGCATTGCCGCCTTCTGTCTGGCCCAGAAGGTCAGTCTGTGGGTGGAGCTGGGAGGGGTTTGGATATAGAAGAGAAGAATGCATTCGAAAGAAAAGAAAAAAAGAGGAGGCATGCTTGGGGGGGAAAAAAAAGTGATGGAGAAAAGGATTTACATAGAAACATTCAGGGGTAAAATGAGGCATTTTTCACAGGGGGCAGCCCAGAGTGGTGGTTAAGAAACTGAGCTCCAATCCTAGGCCTGCCACCCTTTGGTAAGATTGTGGGCAAGCCACTTAAACTCCTGGTGCCTCATTTTCCTCATCTGTAAAATGGGAATGAATAATTCCTGCCTCAGGGTCATTGTGAGGCTCAGCGAGTTAGAACTGTGGCATATAGTAGTATATGCATATTTTTATTAATCACCCAGTATCCCCAGTGCCCAACTGTGCCTGACCCACAGTAGCTGCTTCCTATGTTTTTGGAACATATGAATGAATACATGGGTGTGTTGGGCGGGGGAGGGGTCGGGCTGCGGGAAGCTGGGTGGGATGAGGGGATACCTGAGTCACCGCTGCCCAACGCCTCCACAGACCAACAAGGCTTGGGCCAAGGGGGACGTCCAGGGGGCAGGGGCCGCCTCCCGCCGCGCCTTCCTGCTGGGGGTCCTGGCCGTCGGGCTGGGCGTGTGCACGTACGCGGCCGCCCTGGTGATCCTGGCCGCCTACCTCGCCTCCCGGGACCCGCTCTAGTTGCCCCTGCGTCCTCACTGTGAACCCAGGGGCCGGCCGCCCAGCGCGTCCGCGGTCGGAGTGGAGAATCCAGGTGGATGAGGCGGCGGCGGCGGCAGCGTCCAAAAACGGGGGGTGAGTCGGTTCTCCCCCTCCCCCCACCCCCCTTCCTGGAGGCCGCAAACAGCGATTAAACACCAGACACTCCTGCCGCCAAACCTGTGTCTGTCTGTGTGGGAAGGCGGAAGGGACGGGCCAGAGTGACAGGGTGCCCCCCCGGGGTGCTTCCGGACACCTCAGAGCCAGAGAAGAGGGAATCCGAGGAAGCTCGGCGGGCTTCCAAATTGCAGAATATTCTCTTCACAACGTGGGTGATAGGGAGAGAATTAAAGAAAGCCAGGTTCCAAGGCCTTCCTCCTCCAAGTTCACTGTGTAACCTCTGCCCACGTACCTTCTGAGCCTCACTTTTCCTCATCTGCAAAATGGGACTAATTTCTTCCACACCTGGAGCAGTTCTGAAGACTAAATGAGTCATACAGTGTAAACAGCAGCCTCCCCCAGAGCTCCTTCGCCAGCAAATGGCAGAATCCAACTCAGACTGCCTTACACAACAAAAGGGAAGCTGAGGGAGCACTGGATCGAGGGCCTCAGATAAAATAATCTGGTCTCCCCATCTCTTGGCTTCACTGCACAGGCTCTGCCTCGTGGGGGAGGAGAATGGAGCAGGCACCTCTGGTACCCCAAAGGTCCTCTTCCCCAGGCACCCTCTCAGTGGCCCACCTGGGCTAGGAGGCAGCCCCATCACATAGCCTGAGATTGGGAGGGATGGGGCCTTCAGGCCTCCAAGTGCTGGCACTCTGGCAGGCAAAACAGCCCTGTTCTGAGCTTATCAGAGGTACATTAAATGGAGCCTGATATTACCAAGTAATAAAGTGAGAGTGGTTTAGTTTTTTTCATTCCACTTAATGCCATTTAATGGTGCTTCTTAGAAGAAAACACTTCCGTTTGTGCTCTCCTGCGCGTCTCCACGGAGTGTCATTTCAAGCTAAAGATATTTATGCATTTCCTTTTTGTTTGCTCGGGATGAAAATGACACCTCCTCAAAGGGGCAATTGTGGGCACCGTGTGGGCCAGTTTAAGCATGTGAAGTGTGCAGCAGAGGGCCCCCAGATGTGTCATAAAACCCTACACGTCAGTGGCAGACAGGATCTGGCAGCCATGTGGCCCACCTGTGGGGACGTTATTCCTTGCTGGATGCTAGCGTGATCTTGGCTCCTAACCCCTGAATGTGAGGGTGGGGATCAGTCAGATCAGAACTGAAAATACACCCATTTCCAAAAGCCCCTTAGGGGGTGCCGTGGCCACTTCCTTTCACAGACAGGGACCCGAGGTCCAGAATGCACTGGCACCTCCAGTGTCTGTCTGCATAGTGAGGGCTCTGGGTCTGGACACTTTTTTTTGCCGCACCAAGTGGCACGCGGGATCCCCAACTAGGGATTGAAACCGTGCCCCCTGCAGTGCATGCGTGGAGTCTTAACTGCTGGACGGCCAGGTAAGTCCCTGGGTCTGGACTCTTGAATGGGGCCCGTGCTCCACCACTTAACTAGCTGGTGACCTCTGGCGGTTAACTGGCTTCTGAGCTTGTTCCCTTACCTTTTTTTTTTTTTTTTTTTTTTTTTTGCGGTCCGCGGGCCTCTCACTGCCGTGGCCTCCCCCGCTGCAGAGCGCAGGCTCTGGATACGCAGGCTTGGCGGCCGTGGCTCACGGGCCCAGCCGCTCCGCAGCATGTGGGATCTTCCTGGACTGGGGCAGGAACCTGCGCCCCCTGCATCGGCAGGCAGACCCCCAACCACTGTGCCACCAGGGAAGCCCTCTTTCTTGAATTTTATTTATTTTTTTGGCTGCTTTGGGTCTTCATTACTGCACGCAGGCTCTCTCTAGTTGCGGCAAGCGGGGGCTACTCTTGTGGAGCACGGGCTCTAGGCACGTGGGCTCAGTAGTTGTGGCTTGAGGGCTCTAGAGCACAGGTTCAGTAGTTGTGGTGCACGGGCTTAAGTGCTCCTTGGCATGTGGGATCTTCCTGGACCAGGGCTCGAACCCACGTCCCCAGCATTGGCAGGCGGATCCATAACCACTGCGCCACCAGGGAAGTCCCTTGTTTCCTTACTTTAAAACAGACTGTAACAACAGCCACACCTCACAGGGTTGTCGTGTGGGTAAAAGCAGCATTCAGAGCCAGATTCCCCTCAGAGGCCCACAAAGGCCACTGCCTCCCTGACCATCTCCTTACTCTCTTTAGTCCTCTGCTCCAGCCACACTGGCCACCTTGCTGGTCCTTGAACCTCTGCCTGTCTCTGCCAGGGGGTCCTCCCCCCACATGTCCATGAGTCCCTGAGTTCGTCCCTGGCCTCTTCCTGGGCTTCGCTCAGATGTGCCCCTCTCTACGGAGGTGTCCCCGACTCACCTAAACCCGTCTTCCCTGTTTGTTTTTAAATAGCATCCACCATCCAAAAAACACCAATTTTATTTGTCCATCACATTACTGCTCCTCGAACCTGGGACGTGGGCCTCATTCACTGCTGAGGCCTCAGCACCCAGCAGGGCCTGCACACTCTAACAGCAGTCCCACTTCACCGGGCTGTTAGAATGAGTAGAGTCAGTCAATAAATGCACCATCCTACTAGTGTTTTCCTGGGGTGGGGTGGGGTCTGTGCCCCCCGGGCCCAGGGCCTGGCTATAGCCACTTTCTCAGCAGGGCTGGGCTACCAGTTTATTTGATGCTGGAGGTGGTGAGAGGGGCAGCTTGCCCCAGCGTGCCTCAGCTCTTGGAGTAACGCCTCTGCAGAGATTCCCGGTAGAAGCGGAAGACATGCTGGGAGGCAGCCTGGGCTGCAGCCAGGCACTGCTGGAGCTGGGAAGGGAGAGGGGCTTAGTGCTGCGGGCCCAGGCCTGCGCCCACACGTGTGACAGGCCCCACCTCCCTGTTCACCGGGAGCCCCGCCCCCCAAGGGGAGGCAGGTGGAGCAGGGATTTACTCCCAGTGCATTTCCTTTCCGCACTTCGTGGGCTCCTTCAAGGGGAAGAGGCCTCAGGGGTCAGGTTCCAGCAGCTCCAGGCCCTCAGACCAAAGGCATCAGGCATCCTGACCCCTGGATGTGACCCCAACCTTGTTGAGCTCCGGGGCCAGACTGAAATTTTAGAGCCACAGGCCCTGTGACTCCAAATAGTCTTAAAAGCCATGGAACCTGAGACCCCAAATCTTTACTGTCTTGTATACCTGGATTCACGGGAGGGCCAGGTGGGAAATATTCTTGGAGACCATTTGGTCCAACAGGTGCCAAACTCTGTTTTTCAGACACCCTGAGTTCTGGGGTGCACAGCTCTGAGCTGGAAGCTGGGAGGCCTCCAGGTGCCCCCATCTCTTGATTTCAACCTGTGCCCCTCTTCTCATAAATTGGTCTTCCCTTTAAAGTTCTCACAAAGGTTTCTATGGCTACAAAGTTTGAAAACTCCCATTTACAGAAGGGATGCAAGGACGGGGCCCTCCTTAAGCTTCCTAGGATTGGGACAGGACCTCATGTCAGGTGGGTGGGAAGGATCTGGCATTCACCCCCAATTGCACACTGGTACCTCAGCATCAGAGTAGAGCCCCTTGGTGGTGGACATCAGCAGCTTCCGTTCCACGCTGTCAAGTGCAAAGGTCAGGACTGCCCGGGCCTCCTAGGGATGAGCGGTACAAGGTAGGGGACCTGGGACTCTCTCCTCAGACACAATCTTAGCTGGTCCCTGGTCCCAAAGAGGGGGCTTGCTTTTCACTCACGTATCAAGTGTATTTTTTTTCTTTTTGATCTACATACCACCCCTTCCCTGCTTCCTTGAGTAATCGCTACCCGTGCCAAATTCCACCACATGCTTCTGACGGGGGCTTCAGAGCACAGTATCCTGTGCCACAGGGGCAGCAGCCGCAGTGCCGGTCATTCCCCGGTGCCTCCCATCTCCCTGCAGTGCTCTGTACCCCTGGGGCTGGAAGCCAGCAAACTGTATTTCCCAGATTCCCCTGCCAGTTAGGTTCTATCAGGAATCTGGTGGGAGACTGGGAGGGAGGAGAGAGCATCCTGGTCCTCATTGCAGCAGGAGTTTGGAGTATATCACCTGCCACAGGAGGCATGGAGATGGGGTGGGTTCTGGACTTCAGCAGCCAGGGCAAAGCCAGACCATCTCTGTGCATCTAGATCTGACTGCACCAGTGTCTCCGCCAGTACAGAGCAGGAGCTGGCTTCTGGCTTCTAATCTCTGGGTGTCCTCCCTTCCTCCCTTTTGCTCCTTCAGCTCTTCCAATATGGTTGTAACTAGTTCCCTGCATGAAATTCTGTCTGAAATCCCCCAAGGGGTTTCTGCTTTCACGACTGGATGTGACTGAGCAGATAACTGGGAATAACCAGAACCCTAGGACACTGTGACCTTGAGCCAATGAAGAAAAAACTCTTTCCTCCTTTGCTTTTGTTTTTGAACCTCTTAAAATCTGTTCCCTTTTTGCTTCAGCAGGTTAGAGTTGGGTTTCTAGCACTTGCCCAGATGAACAGGGCAGAGCTTGCCAGCTGAGACTGAGGTGGTACAAGCCAACTGTTTTGGAAAAGTGAGGCCTAGAGGAGAGGCAGAGTGTCTGCCCAAGGCCTTTTACCACCCTGCCCTTCATACCTACCTTTTCTTGCTTGGCTGTGGGGTCCAGCAGGAGGGTCCCATCAGAGTCCAGAGCACAGGTGACCCCACAGAAGAGGGCCCGCATGGGCACACCTGCGTCCACCAGTGCCATGCAGGCGGCATTCAGGCAACAGGCCAGGAGCTGAGTGCCACAGGCAGTGGTTAAGAGTTTCTTTTTTTTCTTCCTTTTTTTTGGCCGCACTGTGAAGCTTGTGGGATCTTAGTTCCCCAACCAGGGATTAAACCCAGGCCCTCAGCAGTGAGAGAGCAGAGTCCTAACCACTGGACCACCAGGGAATTCCCAGGTAAGAGTTTCTACTGGAGGGCTGGTCAGCAGAACATATCCATGCCTCCATTCACCCTGCCAGTGCCTGTAGCAGACATCACTAATTGATCACAGAAAGGCAGAGTAGTTCTGGGATCAAGTATCCTTGGGTTCCAGACCTGAATTTGCCACCTCTAAGCTGTGTGACCTTGAGCAAGTTATGTATTCCCTCTGAGCCTCAATCAGGGATCATAATGATATTCAACAGATATGCACCTTCAGGGAAACGGAGGGCAGAAGCCTTCCAAGATCACACAAGTAGGCAGTGGCAGAGCCAGGCCTGGAGCTGGGGTATCTAGAGCATGCAGTGCTACCAGGCGATAGACGGGCAGGGTGACAGAGGGCGGGGTCTGTGTCCTCAGGGAACCCACAGTCCAGGGGAGAGGTGTGGCCCTGGCATAGTGCAAGGTGAGCACAGGCCTGAGTCAGACAGGTGGCCCCACCTCAGTTTCCTCAAGTCTTTCCTCCCCAGGGCCCAGCTTCACAATCAATCAGTCCCACCTCTGCCACTGACCCTCCATTGCCTCCCCTCTGTGAAATGGGTTCACAACAGTCCTCCTTTTCCCTCATCTGTGAAGTGTCTGCCCAACGCAGGGCCATGCACCTGCAAAGCCATCTAGAAATGCCCGGTTCTGGTCCTTGACCTCTACCTTTCTCTACCTCTACCCAAACCACAGCGATCCTTCAAGGCTGAGCTGCTG